GGTATCCTGCCACTTTTCTGAATTCGTTTATTACTTCTACTAGTTTTTTGATGGAGTCTAGGATTTTCTATGTATAGCATTATGTAGTCTGCAAACTGCTATTTACTTAGGATGTTATATATGAACCTCATAGTAATCACAAACCCAAAATCTATGATAAATACACAAAAAATAAAGCCAAACATAACACTATAGATACTTATTGATCACAAAGAGAGCAAGAGAAGAACAAAGGAACAAAGCAGAACAACAAAACAACCAGAAAACGACTTTTAAAACTGGCAGTAACTACATACCTGTCAATAATTATTTTAAATGTAAATGGCCTAAATGCTCCAATCAAAAGACATGGAGGAAAAAAAAAAGACACAGAGTGGTGGAAAGAAGAAAAAAACAAGACCCATCTATATGCTGCCTACAAGAGACTCACCTGAGACCTAACAGTGCATACAGCCTGAAAGTGAAGGGATGGAAAAACATTCATCATGCTAAATGAAAGCAAAAAAAGAAAAAAAAAAAAGCCAAGGTAGCAATAATTATATGAGACAAAATAAAATTTAAGACAAAGACTATAACGAGACAAAGAAGGGCATTACATAATGATAAAGGGACCAATCCAATAAGATGATATAACAGTTGTAAATATCTACATACCCAACACTGGAGCACCTAAATACATAATATTAACAGACATAAAATGTAAATTGATGTTAATACAATAATAGTAGGGGACTTTAACACTCCACTTGTATCAATGGATAGATTATCCAGACAGAAAATTAATAAGGAAATAATGTCACATAATGTGTGACAATAATGACACAATGGACTAGATGAACATAACAGATGTATACAGAACATTCCATCTAAAAACAACAGAACACACATTCATTTCAAGTACACATGGTACATTCTCCAGAATAGACCAACACATTAGGCCATAAAACAAACCTCAATAAATTTAAGATTGAAATCATACCATGAGTTTTTTCTGGCCACAATGTTGTGAAATTAGAAATAAATCACATAAAAATAAAACTAGAGAAAACACAAACACCTGGAGACTAAACAACATGATAGTAAACAACCAATGGGTTAATGAAGCAACGAAGAAATAAAAAAATACAGGGAGACAAATGAAAATGAAAACACAATGGTCCAAAATCTCTGGGACACAGTGAAAGCAGTTCTGAGAGGGAAGTATAGAGCAATATAGGCATCCCTGAAGAAACAAGAAAAAATTCAAGTAAACAATCTAACCGTACACCTGAAGGAAATAGAAAAAGAACAAACAAAACTCAAGGTGAGTAGAAAAAAGGAAATAATAAAAATCAGAGCAGACAGGACAACCTGTAAGAAATGGATAAATTCCTAGAAACATGCAATCTTCCAAAACTGAACCAGGAAGAAGTAGGAAATTTGAACAGACTGATAATAGGTAATGAAATTGAACTGGTAATCAAAAAACAAAACAAGACAAAGTGAAACAAGTCCAGCATCAGATGGCTTCACAGGTCTCCAAAAATTTAAAAAAGAGTTAATACCTATCTTTCTCAAAGTGTTCCAAAAAATAGAAAAGACAGGAAAGCTTTCGAATACATTCTACTGGGCCAGCATTACCCTGATACCAAAAAGTAGAAAAGACACCACAAGAAAAGAAAACTACAGGCCAATATTCCTGATGAATATTGATGCAAAAATCCTCAACAAAATATTAGTAAACAGCCAACAACAATACATTAAAAAGAGCATTCACCATGATCAGGTGGGATTAATTTCTGGGATACAAGGGTGGGTCAGTATTTACACCACATCAATAAAATGAAGGATGAAAATCATATGACCATCTAATAGATGCAGAAAAAGCATTTGACAAGATTTGACAGCCATTCATGATAAAAACTCTCAACAAGATGGGGATAGAGGGAACATACCTCAACATAATATAGGCCATATATGAAAAATTCACAGCTAACATCGTACTCAGTGTTGAAAAACTGAGATCTTTTCCCCTAAGATCAGGAACAAGACAAGGACGCACTTTTATTCAACATAGTACTGGAAGTCCTAGCCACAGCAGTCAGACAGGAAAAAGAAAGAGGCATCAGTGTTGGTAAAGAAGTTCAACTGTCACTATTTTCAGACAACAGGATCATTCTGTTAAAGATACAGCTGACAATGTATGAGCTGGATGTGGGGTATAAGAAAAAGAGAAGTATCAACGGTAATTCCAGGATTTTTGGCCTGAGCTGAAGAATTGAGTCAACATTAGTAGAGATGAGAACTGCTTTAGAGGTAGCTGATTTGGAAGATTAGGAGCTCAGTTTTGGGCAGGTAAGTTTGAGATCTTATGAGACTTGCAAGTGAAGATTATTTTAAAAATTTAAAGGAGGCATTTGGGCATAATACATTTGATCTTTTAAACTTTAGCTTTAAAATTTGCTGGTTCTTCCAAAGAATACTTCCAATCTCAGAAGAATTGTTAAGTTCTAAAGAAATTATTATTCATTTGTTAATAATATGGAATTTAATCCACTTTCTCCTAATTGATAAGGCAGTAATATAGTTTAGTACTTTTTAAGAGAAGTGTCATAGTAGTTTATAGAGGGAGCCAGTTTGCCTGGACTTAAATCCTTGTTGTGTTTACTGACTGTGTGCTAAATATGTGATACAAATTGTCTTTCAGATAATTTGCTAAAAGCCTGTTTTGTTTAACTTGAGTATACTCATAAAGCCCTAACCAAACTATACCATTTTCTTTTTTTTTTTTTTTTTTAAGATTTTATTTGTGAGAGAGAGAGCAAGAGAGGGAGCACAAGCAGGGGGAGGGGCAGAGGGAGAGAGAGAAGCAGACTCCCCGATGATCAGGGAGCCCAACGAAGCGGGGCTGGATCCCAGGACCATGGGATCACAGGATCATGACCTGAGCTGAAGGCAGTTGCTTAACCGACGGAGCCATCCAGACACCCCCAAAGTATACCATCTCCTCATAAAAGGTTATGTGTTTCACATAAAGCCATGTATCTGGAAAGAGGTACTAATGAAAAACGCCAACACTTCTGGAAAGAAATCTAAGACTACATTCTTTAAAAGCTGTTTTTTTTCTGGTCTGCTTATTCTAGGTACCACATCTTAACTGAAATTAATGGGTTCTATCTATAATAGATATGGATCCTTAAGTTTCTTAAAATTTGAAGCTTATAAAAGGAATTTCAAAAATAATCGACAATGGCTGAACATATTCTGTGGACTTGAAGAGTTCAGTCTGACTGTAGTTGCCTATATTGTTACTCTAACTAACAGTGCTTATCAAACTGCTTTCCAAGGAGGCTTTACCCTCTTTCCATATGTTTTGCAAATAGTCTGTGAAAATTGCTTGTTACAGGAAATGGCTTCTTTTTGTTTGTTGCTGCATTTCTATTTCCTCTGTGCATCCTGCTCAGCTGTTTCAGTATTCTGTTTTTGACAGAGATGAAAGGAGAGCTTAAGATTCTTTTGACAGAATAAGTAATTTCCACATTGATTCCAAACTGAAAATAGATACCACATTGCATAGGAATACCCTCAGTCTATGTGGATTGAGTGGGACTGACTTGACTTCTCATCTTCAGGAATGGGGACTGTGAACCAGGTCTGGCCAATCACAGCTTTTCTTGGGACTTTTGCTGGAACCATTGGGGAAGAAGGTTCTTATTATTAGGATTCCTAGCTTTAGAGATACTGGTGGTCATCTTTGCTATAACATAAAGAAAGCTTGTTGGAAAATAAGTAGTGCGGAGGAAAGCAGTGGTAAGAGACAAAGAAAAATAGATTTCTAATTACATTTTTAACCCTTTCACCCATTTCTTAAGCCGAAATAATTTTTAACCCCTTCATCCATTTCTTAAGCTGGTATTTCAGTTATGTGATCCAATGACCCTTCCTCTCATTTTATTTTTTGTAAAAAATTTTATTTGAGTGAGAAAGAGAGAAAGCATAGGGGTGGGGGTCAGAGGGAGAAGCAGACTCCTGGCTGAGCAAGGAGCCTGATGTGGGACTTGATCCTGGGACTCCAGGCCTGAGCCAAAGGCAGATGCTTAACCAAATGAGCCACCTAGCCACTCCTTTCCTCTCATTTTAAAATCATGCTTTCACTATATAAAGGATTCAATCTAAATTACTGATCTACCTGTGGTATATTCTTCTTTACAAAAAATTTTAAGTAACCTCTATGCCAAACCTGGGGCTTGAACTCATGATCTGGAGATCAAGAGTTGCATGTTCTACCAACTGAGCCAGCCAGGTGTGCTCCTGTGGTATATTCTTCTGTGTAAAGCTTTTAAGTATTTCTCCAGATATGGTAGCCAAGGTTTTACTATTTAAACATTTTAATGCCTAAATATTTCATGATACTGTTGTGTACCACATATACACACACTTATAAAATATAAAGACATGAATTAACATTTAATTATATGGGACATACATCAATATGTCCTATTACATCTGGCCATAACTGATTTTTGTGATAATCCAAAAATTATAATTGGCAGTTTTAATACAGGCATCTAGTCAAAACAATTGAGTTTATAAATGATTACAGAAGGAAAAAAACAAAATATCTAGTAAGATGGGCATTTTTTTAAAAGATTTTATTTATTTGAGGGAGAGAGAATGAGAGAGAGAGAGAGAGAGCATGTGAAAGGGAGGAGGGTCAGAGGGAGAAGCAGACTCCCCGCTGAGCAGGGAGCCTGATGGGGGACTCGATCCCGGGACTCCAGGATCATGACCTGAGCTGAAGGCAGTCGCTTAACCAACTGAGCCACCCAGGCGCTATGTACATATGAAAAGAAACAACTAAAAAAGTTAGTTACTTCTGGGGAATGGAACTTGGTGCCAAAGGTGCACCAAATTAAGCCTTTGAAAGCTACTTTACTTTATGTTTTGTGGGTAATTATGATGTATCCAGGTTGGGATAAAGCTAAAAGAAATAAGATGGCAAAACACCTACATTTAAAAACAAAATTCTCCTGAAAATTTTATTAACATTTAATAACAATAAATCAGTCAGCATTTTCCATAGTCTTCACAAAGTTTTTGTCTTAAAGATGAGATTTACTTCAAATGTCTTCATGTAAACCAATCAGTCATGAATAAACTTTTATAGTGAGCTTCTCAAACATATTGTTTTAATACCGGTCTTTTTTCTTGGGATGACAACAGCAATACTATGATAGTATTAAGATTTCTTTTTAATTCAAATGAACTGTTTTCAAGATTAATGGTTACTAGCAAATCTTGATTTTTATTACTCTGCTAAGGCAAGATAGAAACATGATACTTTAAAATTATTTTCAATTTCCTATGAACCTAGTTTATAGTAAAAAATTATTTGGTACTAAGTGTTCTTTATGCTCAAATTCTAAAAGTAATCTTTAATCCCAACTGAACTTGGTACCCCAAGATTTAAAAAAATTTTTAATGATATTTACATAATAAATACAATTTTAATCACTCAGTTCTTCCTCATCACTGAAGTACGTGCTTTTCTTTATCCTTGGGCGTCTTGAGTCATCTGATGTTGAGGGACCCCCTGAACTGGGTTTCCATTTTTTCTGTTCTTCTTCAATTTTGGCTTGCTGTAATGTGATTCAGAAAACAAAACAAAACAAAACAAAACCAGGAAGTCTGTTGAACATTATTTACAGTGTATTAATTCAAAACATGGCAAAAACACACCATAAATGCCAACACTCCCCACCCTCCAGCCCATGCAGACAATTCTACTTTATCAGGAGACCCCACCTGCCCCCCCAAGTTATGTCTCAGTTTCACTTTGTTAATCAAAATTATTCTAGGCAACTTCTACTTATTAACAGGTACATGAAATGAAGCTTATTTGCCATCTTTGCTGGAAATGGGAATGTTATATAAAATACATTAGTTAACTAAAAGGAAAAATTAATTAATGTATTTGAATTTATCAACTACAAACATATTAAAATAAAGTAACTTTTTTAGAAAATTAGGAGATTGTATGGCCTTCCTAAAAAATGTTTCATATATTTATATTAGGACTTTTAAATGGTCAAAAATAGTTTTTGGTTTTGTTTTGAAGTGAAGTTTCAGTTAGAACATATCTTTTGGGTTTAATAAAATCTTCTCTGTTTGGCTAAACTCACCTTAATAAAATATTTCTGATCAATTCCATAATGAAATCATTTTAAAATATTAAAAATGTTGTAGGGCCCTTTAAATCTAGAAAGAACCAAGGGGAGTTTTTCTATTACACTGCTCTAAAGACCTTAGAGAAATAGCCTGTTTCCTAAAGAGTAAAGGGGAGAGAGGAAGATTGCCATGAGATGATCAATAAAGTAAGCAAGGGATACAAGGCAGCGATAACATTATTAAAAGAACTGTTAATACCTGGAAAGCTATGGCCTGACTAAGACTGTCAAGAGCGGGATCTTCCCCTTCATCTTCACTTTCTTCCACTTCTTCACTAAATTATTAAAAAAAAATCAGAATGTACTCAAGCAAGAGTATAAAGATAGAAACAATACAAGAATGTATTTAGTAAGAGTAGATATACACACATTTCTTCTTCTGGTTCAGGAATTTTCTTTTTTTTCTTTTTCTCTTTCTTCTTTGGAGGTTCCCGTTCTCCAAGCATATTTTTAGGACAGGCATAACTTAAGTGTCCACTTTCCTTTTGTTTCACATTAAGAAGGAAAGGAAAAAAGCTGTATTTGCTGTGTTATTAACAGAAACTTGTTTGGTACTCTACAACTGGAAGTTTTAGAACTTAAAAAAGAATACTGTCACACTGGGAATATACATGAAGAAATTAACAAAACCTATTACTTTAATATTTAAAAGAAAGAGATTATGATATTATAACCCCCAATAAGCTACTTTACCAATAAGAGAATATTTTAGTAGTTTTACTAAGAACAAAAGAAGTATTCTTCCTTCAAACATTTCAAATCTCAAGATTCAGAGTATAAAACAATTTGAAATTTAAATGCACCACCTACCTTAAATGTAAAAATTTAAAGTTATTATTTGATAAAATGGGATGAAACCTTCCTGTTAACTTCTAAGATGCTGCTTAACATATTAAAAACAAATTTCTAAAATAAATAATTAATCTTTTTTAAAAGGGGAGGGCGCTTGGGTGGCACAGTCAGTTAAGCATCCAACTCTTGGTTTTGGCTTAGGTCGTGATCTCAGTGTCATGAGATCAAGCCCTGCATTGGGCTCCAGGCTCAGCATGAAGTCTGCTTAAGACACTCTTTCCCTCTGCCCTCCCCCTCCTTCCTGCCCACTGCTCTCTTTCTCTCAAATAATCTTTAAAAAAAAAGTAAAATTTAAAGTCTTCCTCACTTTTCCTATTAATTTCATTTTCCTCCCTTCATATCTAGATTTTACCTGCACTGTCCAATTATGTGAGCCACTAACCATTAATTCTCTTGTGACTACTGAGAACCTGTCTGAATTGATATGCGCTGTAAGGGTAAAATACATCCTGGAATCTGAAGACAATAAGAAAAAAAGAATGTAAAATACCTTAATTTTTGAAAATATTACATATTCAAATTATAATATTTTAGATATATATTGGGTTATGAAAATAAAATATATTATTAATTTTTGCTGTTGCTTTTTTTAATGTGGCTATTACACAAATCAGAATTACATTTATGGCTGGAGTAACGTTATAATGAGCCATAACATGGTTCAGTTGTAAAACATGAGACAATGAACTAAACTCTGAATAGTAGCTCACTAAATACACTGAAGGATAATATGTAAGAGTAAGGGTGTGGGGAGAGACTGAACCAGGATCAAAACAATACAACAGAAAAATAATCGTGCTTTTCAAGTATATTTTAGAAAGCATCAAACAGATTGTGTACTTTATATATCTGGGGACATGGTTGAACCCAAGAGATGTTACTGTTAATGAACTGCGAAGTGAATGCAACTGCTTTTGGAATAATGTCAACATATATAAAAATGGTTTCATAATGAAGTAACTTAAGGGAAACCAGGCTAAATAAATGCAAACATATTTTGGGGAGGGGGAAATTTAAGAAATATAAAATGTACAAAGTATAACAAATTTATGGATCCATAAACTAAAAAGGCAGATTAACAGATTCATCCAGGATTTCTCAGATAATGTTATTTACTATGAATATGAGGATACATAGTAATCTATCTGACCATAACTACTCCTCCCTTCCATCCTTTTTTTTTTTTTTTTTTTAACAAAACTCAGGGCTCTGGAACACAGTTTCTAAAACATTGAGGTGTTAGAATCACAGGAAATGACAAAATGTACCATTCATCTATCTGTTTATCTATATGTTTTTTCAGCGAGGAAGGGGCAGAGTGTGGCAGTGAAGGAAATGAGTCCAACCCATTTCTTTGTATCTTCCACTGATTTTATAGCCAGGAATATACCTCTCAGTAATCCTCTCCCCAGCTCCCCATTACTACCTCTAGACCCTAATTTTTAGATATACTTTTTAGGCATTTTGGAAACTGACAACGAGTCCCAGACTGATACTCTCTTGGTACCATCATTATTATGGGCCTCGTGCAAAACTGTTTTGTGGCTATGTATTTTTCCTAATTACCAAAAGTTTAAATGGGTAATGATAAACTATAAGAACTAGGTAAGAAAGTTTGGAGATAGTTCAGTTACAAACACTAGCAGTATTAATAGAAAAAAAAATAGATTTTAAAACACATTATCCCAAATAGGATAGGTTGATCATATGATAATGTTTATACTAAACTGTGATGCTTAAACATTGGCAAGCTATTATAGGCAAAAACAGTATCCCACTAACCCAAAAGTTTATGGGTCACTAAATCTTTCAAGACAATAAGTAATTAGTCTGGTGCTTTTTTTTTAATAGTTTATTTATTTATTTATTTGAGAGACAGCGAGCGAGAGAGTACAAGCAGGGGGAGCAGCAGAGGGAGAAAGAGCACAAGCAGGTGGGTGGCAGGCAGAGGGAGAAGCAGACTCCCCACTGAGCAAGGAGCCTGATGTGGGACCCCATCCCAGGGCCTTGAGATCATGACCTGAGCTGAAGGCAGACACTCAACCAACTGAGCCACCCAGACGTCCCTACGAAGTGTTTTTTTTTTTTTTTTTTTACATAGCAAGAGCAGGGGTGCCTGGATGACTCAGTCTGTTGAGTGTCTGACTCTTGATTTTGGTTTAGGTCCTTCGCACCCCCCACAGCTTGTGTGCTCTCTTAAAAAACCCCCAAACCCAAATACCTTTCTAGTTTCTTTTTCTTTCTTTTTAAGATTTTATTTATTTATTTTAGAGAGAGAGACACAGCGAGAGAGGTAACACAAGCAGGGGGAGTGGGAGAGGGAGAAGCAGGCTCCCTGCTGCCACATGCGGGGCTCAATCCCAGGGCCCAGGGATCACAACTTGAGCTGAAGGCAGACACTTAACTGACTGAGCCACCTAGACACCCCAGTCTGGTGCTTTTTAATTTAACAGTTATCAAAGATTTAGAAACTGGAGAAAATACCACTCTATATTACCTAACTCAGGTTATCTTTACATACATTTCAGTTGCATTTACTAAGATGAGTAGAGAGTCCCAAAGTAAAACAACTTTTATAACCTGCTTTTAGCCAGCCAGAAGTTTTAGAGAGCACAAATAAAGCCCTGATGTGAAAAATACCTTCAAATAAACTATGGAATATTACATTAAGTTTTAGGTATACTCACCCCACATTCATAACACTTAGATTTATCAAAGTAGTTTCGTCTTCGGATGAACTCGGCTGCTCTTCCATTGTCGATGGCAATGCTTGCTTTTATCACTCTACCAAATAACTAAACCAGAGAAAAATGTAAATGCAGAAGGATGTATTTCACTGAAACCTAAAACTACAGTTATTTGATTCCATTTCCTTAAATTTTCAATTCCATTTTATTTTAGGTTACTTTATCAATCGCCTGGTCGGGTATGACAAATAACATCCTATAGAATAGATTTTTATTCCTTAGATTCTGCCAGTGTTTTGGGGATGAATATAATTTTGACCTCTTTTCTATAGGTTAAATACCCTCAAAATCTACTGGTATCCATGACTTGATCATCCACTGTATCCCCACATTTTTGGCCTGGATGAGCAAAGGCTTTTGGATTAAAAATCTTGTTGGGAATGAATGGCCTTACCTGTTTGTTGTTTATTGCCCTGGTACAGTTTTGTGCAGAGTCTTTATCCAAAAATAAAATAAATGCAACCCCTTTACTCTTCCTGGTATCTTTATCTTTCATTATAGTAACCCTTAAAGTATAAACAAATAGCCAGTTAAAAATAATGAGGCAGCAATAAATAAAACAGATTATTAATAAATACTTGGAAAACTCATGGGTTAGCAAAACATTTACAGAATAAGAGAAATCAATATGGTTGACAAATCAACTGTTTCTTCAAAGTCATGGGATATCAAGAAGAATGAAGAGGAGAAAATGTGATACTAATTTAACAAAAGTGAGCACAGTTATGATAGGAGTACCTGAAAAGTCAAACATTTGAGGGATCAAGTAAAGAGATTACAGAGATTACAGAGACAACAAAATCTTGAAGAGTAAGCGTAATTCCTTTTCCACTAATGCCCTCACTCTGCAGAAATAAAACAAAACAAAAATGAGGTATTCTTTTCAACACAAAAAGTAAAATGATTTACTTATTTTTTCCTAGGCTTTAGAATCTAATTATATTCTCTTTTTAAAGTTTTAAATTCCAGTTAGTTAACATACAGTGTAATATTAGTTTCAGGCGTACAATTTAGTGATTCAACCTTCCATACAACACCTAGTGCTCATCACAGCAAGTACACTCCTTAATCCCCTATCACCTAAAGAATCTCCAGTTCTGTGGTTCTTAGTCATACCATCCAAGGTACCTAAGTGATAGGGATGGTGCTAAGATCACAGAGCCTGTTCTTTCTCCTGATCCTTTATACATCCCTAGTCCTTGTGATCCTTGCTCATCATATGTCATTAAATGTAGTTTAAAAATCAGTGTTCGGGGCGCCTGGGTGGCTCAGTCGTTAAGCGTCTGCCTTTGGCTCAGGTCATGATCCCAGGGTCCTGGGATCGAGCCCCGCGTTGAGTTCCCTGCTCAGTGGGAAGCCTGCTTCTCCCTCTCTCACTCCCCCTGCTTGTGTTCCTGCTCCCGCTATGTCTCTGTCAAATAAATAAATATTTAAAAAAAAAATCAGTGTTCAACAGGGATCTTCAGAGAAATGGCTGATTCCAAGGATGGATAGGGTAGGTACAAGATCTTAAAAAATGTGCTTAAAGAGGAAGGGAGTACTTAAAAAAACAAAATCATGGGGAATAGCTCAGGAGTAGAAAAGCCAGCTTAAGGAGCTCTCATTGGCCAAATCTAGGACAATTTGAGTACCAAAGTAATTAAGTATAGTAATGAATTATAAACCACAGAAAAAAGTAGGAATTTTTAAGTGTGTATTAATAATAAATAAATGGGGGGAAGTTGGTTTTTGTTTACAGCAGAATGTCAAGGAAGTACTAGAGTTGGAAAATCACCATTTGCAACAATAATAGTAAAAAGTGGATCGGGCAAGAAGATGATTTGTTGAACAAATATCTAAAATGAAATTTTGGGGCATCTGGGTGGCTCAGTTGGTTAGGCATTCAGCTCCTGATTTGGCTCAGGGTCATGAGATCGGGCCAGCGTTGGGCTCTGTGCTGGAAGTGGAGCTTGCTTAAGATTCTCTCTTCCTCTCCCTCTGCCCCCTCCCTCTTCTCACTCTCTAAAAATAAATAAATCTTTAAAATAAAATAAAAAATGAAATTTTTATGTGGAACAAGATATTTACATGGTCTTAAGAGTGTTTCTCACCAACTGTATTAGTAGCAAAGGGAAAAAAAAGTATTTATACAGTGGAGAAATTGGTCAACGCCTTGACTGGGCCATCAAAATTACTATCACTAATGAGGGACACATGGACACTATATAAATCCAGATGTGAAACACTCAGAATACAACATCATCTATAAAGTTACCAGCCAAGAGTATATAAAACTCCAATGTAATCATGAGGCAATATTAGGAAAACACAAAATGAGGGGTGGAAAAAAGATGAGAGAGAGCTATATTCTTTATAAATCTTCCAGATTAAAGGAGGTTAAGAAAATAGGACAGTTAAAATCAACACCTAACTCTAGACTATACTGGGGGGGAAAATTCTATGTGGGACATTATCAGGTCAACTGACAAAATTGGAACATGGATGATTGATTCAATAAAAGTATTTTATCAGTATAAATTTATGAATTTGGGAACCATACCATGATTATGTAACATATAACCCTATTTTTAGGAAATACATACTTGGGAACTTAGGCGTAAGGGCAATGATGTAACTTACCCTCAAATAACTCACAAAAACAAATTGTGTGTGTACCTACATACATATATACACGTGCATATAGACAGACAGACAGACAGACAGACACACACACACACACACACACACACACACACACACACGAGGGGAGAGAGAGGGCAAATGATAAAGTAAATGGGTAAAATGTTACAATAGGTGAATCTGGGTAGAGGATACTTTGATGTTCTTTCTACTATTTTTGCAACTTTTTTTAAATTTGCAATTATTTTCAAGTAGTATAAAAAAAGACAATGTTCAAGACAAAGCATAATAATTTTCTAAAACCTGAATTAACAGGAAAAGACAAGAGGCGCAAATAAATAAATAAATGGATATTTTATTTAACATTTTATTTCACATATTAAAATTTATTCTAAATGGATTGGGTTTAGGTACTTAAATAGTCACTGGAATGAAACTGGTAAAAAGATGCCACTATATTAAGAAAAGGGGTATCTTTTTCATTCCAAAAGGAAACATAAGTTGAAATAGTTTAGGGGAAAATGGACAAAATGGTTTAGTTTCTCAGACAAGTACATTTGTTTATTCATGGGGCTTAGAAGAAGCACCTGACAACACTTGTTTAGAGTCACCACAGTTATTGAGGATACGGAAGTTTTCGACCAATTTTGAAAGAAACAGAAACTAGTTACTTTACTTTTTGGAATTTTCATGTATTTGTGAAGGTCAGTTAAAGTCATTAATCGTTTTTTTCTAAAGTACTATTTCAGAAGTGTTAGCTTTCGAAGTCATCCTCAGTTAATAATGTCTCTCATCTGTCCCCTCTTCTTCATTCCCACAGCTTTTCTTGTCCACAATGGCACTGCTGTTTCAACAGTGTATTATTCTTACTAGTTCCCTTGATGTTAATGCTCTCATATGCCACTGAGAGCATTTCTACTTAAGGAATAAATAAAATCATGTCATTCTTATGCTCAAAAATCTTTGGTTCTTCGATTTGCCTATGGTTTGGTCTTGAATCAATATCCTTTATGATTTGGCTCCCACTTCCCTCATCTTTCACTACTTCTCACTCACAAACTATGAGGGCTAGCAACAACAAACTACTCAATGTTCATGGAGCATGGCCTGTACTTCTCCAAATTGATACCTGTATTCACATGGCTTCTGCCTCCTTTCAACTCTCAATCTTTGCCCATCAAAACTTGACTCATTCTTCAGAGCTCAGAACATGTCAGTTCTCTAATCTCTTTAACTGGAAATAATTTCTCTTTCTGCTAGTCTCTACTGAAGTCTGTTTATGTAAGAACAATGCCTCTTCTGACCTATTTTAATATAAACTCCTTTAAGGTTATATCTGTAATCTCTATTATGCCTAGCTCAGTATGTTAAAACAAAAAGACAGATACAAATGGGAAACTGGTTTCTCAAGAGTGCATCTATGTGTTTATTCATGTAGTCAGTCAGTCACTCCATCCAGACACTTAAGCACTGGTTAATTAAAGGCCCTAGGACAAGGTTTTTTACCTTCAGGAGAAAAGCTTAGAGTCTAGAGGTAAAGAGACCTATAAACCAATTACAATATACTACTTTGACAGAGATACCTTCTATGGTAACAGAAAAAAATAATTACACCAAATATTCTATTCCCAAGTTTCTGGCAGGAGATGTACTCATTTAAGGCCCTAATATGAAACAGACACTATCCTGGGAAACCTGGGTGTCATCCATAACACCCCTTTCTCACTCACCCAAACCTTACATACCAAGTACATCATTAAATATTACCCATTTTATAGCCTAATGATCATCTGACCATCTCTCAAATCTGTCCAGTCTCTACCTCTCCACCTATACCGCCTTAGTGCACATTACTCCCCTCGGCTATGGTTACAGCTTTTTGACGGGTCTGCTAGCATCTACTCTTGTTTCCTGCCAATCTAATCTCTACATTGAAGCCAGAATAAGCTTCTAAAAATTCAAATTATGTTCTTCCTTCATTTAAAATTCTGTACCAGTGAATTCCTGGTATTCTTAGGATGAAAACCAAATATCTTGTAACACGGCCAAGAAGCAAGATTAGGAACCTGCTGCCAGCTCTAGACCCTTTTTGTGCTTTCTCCCTCTTGCGCACTCATCTCTAGTTATACTGGCCTTTTTTTTAAATTTAATTTAATTTAATTTATTTATTTGACAGAGAGAACGCAAGTAGGCAGAGAGGCAGGCAGAGGGAGAGGGAGAAGCAGGCTCCCCGCTGAGCAGGGAGCCCGATGTGGGGCTCGATCCCAGGACTCCAGGATCATGACCTGAGCTGAATGCAGATGCTTAACTAACTGTGCCACCCAGGTGCCCCTGGCCTTCTGTTTCTTGGTGTCACTTTATTTTCTCTTGCTTGCTCCATGGCTTCTGCACAAGGTAGTCCCTCTACCTAAAACGTTCTTCCCATTCTTTCTGCCTACTTAACTCTTACTCAGCCTTAAGGTTTCAATTCAAAGTATACTGACTTAGGTAAACCTACCCCATCCAGACTAGATCATGTCTTCTCTATGTATAGGTGCTTATAACTCCGTCTGACTTCATAGCATTCTCATGATTTATAATTTTATGTTTGTATAGCAATTCATTCAGAGATTCTGACAGATGGGAAAAACCAAGAAAAGGTAAGGGTATGGTTGAGGGAGCAGGCTCTGAAATCAAACTGTTAAATTTCAAATCTTGTCTCCACCACTAACTAGCAATATGTTTAAGTTTATTGTGTGCTTCAGTTTTGTTATTTATATTAGGATAATAACAGTATTTTACCTTAAAAGGTAGTTGTGAGAATTTAATGAATACATGTCAGAAGATTAGAAAAACGCCTAGCATATTTATGTGCTCATTGTCACATATCATCATTATTAGTGATTTGACTGGTATTAATGACTATTCAAAATTCTGAAGATCCATGGGGCACCTGGGTGGCTCAGTTGGTTAAGTGTCTGCCTTCAGCTCAGGTCTGCCTTTAGCTCAGGTCATGATATATGGGTCCTGGGATCGAGCCCCACATGGGGCTCCCTGCTCAGCAGGGAGTCTGCTTCTCCTTCTTCCTCTGCCTATTCCCCCCTCCTGCTCCTGCTGTCTCTCTCTAATAAATAAAAATCTAAAAAAAAATTCTGAAGACAAAAATTTACCTAGAAGCATTTTTGATGATTTTCTTACCATTTATCCAAAGCTAGAAAAAACTGGCCAAAATACATTCTAAATTTTCGGGATTTTAAACACAATTTCACACTTACATCAGAATATATATTGGTGATAAGATGGGTTAGAATGATAATACCCTGCTTTTACTTTTTTCCCCCATAATGTAGGTACATGTTTGATTTAAAATAGTGAATTAAATATAAGAAGTTCCTTTTATCCTTTAGTAACTCTCAGCCCCAAATGATATTATCATCCCTACCATTTCTGTATGTTTCCAGTCTTTCCAATGATCTCTAAACTTTCTATGAAAGCGGAGAATATGTTTTCTATTTATTTATCAGTCTCATAAGCACTTTGCATGTCATATGTATCGAAGTATTTGTTTTTTTACATTCTACTTATTTGACAAGTGAAATCCACTTCTGGTATACTTGATAACACACCTTCCAATAACCAAAATATGTATTTAATCAGAGCCTTTATGTCTTATATAACAGAATCGAGTTTTCGTTCTTAGTAGTATGATTAAGAAATTGTTGTTTAAATAAATTATGATATATAAAGGAATATCATGAGATCATTAGCTACAAGGGTATATCTTTCAACTACATGGTAAGATGTTTATAGTATAATGTCAAGTTTTAAAAAAAAGACAACAAAATTGCATGTATAGAATTAAGTCTTTAAAAAAAATTGTCTCTACAATGTTTATATACTCAGAAAAATGAACAAAATATACATAAAAACAGTATTTTTCTATTATATCAAACATCCGTTTTATTGAAAAATAATAAATCTTAAAAAATGGAAAAGTAAATTCAGATAAACTTTTTAAATGAGGTTTCAAAATTTGATGTGAATACTTACTTTACAACTTTGCCATACTTGGAAAATATCTGAAACAAAAGACCACATAATAATTTACAATTTAATTTTAAATCATAAGAAACATTAGATTTTCAGGTTGTATTAACTGATCATGTTCTTTGTTAAAGCTTGTGAAAAATTTCAGCCTTTATTCTATAAAGTAGGCCCTAGGAGATATATGTTTTTTAGTGATTAGAATAATATTCATATTTTTGTTATTGGAGTCACAGATATCTGCCCCAATTTCTAAATTTCTAACAAAAGAGTGCAGAGAAAAAAACCCCACTCTTTATGTGTGGTAGATTGAAGGCATACACATTGCATAGCTGCTGTGTTTTTGTGGTATATCCATGGCAATTATCAACCCCACCATAGCCCCAGAGAAACCATGTGCTTCAAATATCAATGTTGTGGAATATCATTCCTAGCCAACCCCATTAAGCAATCACTGTTTCAGAAGACAGATCCTTAGACTGCTTATAAAACAAAAAAAGCTTCTGTAATAAAAATCCATTCCCATCAGTCTCCCTCCTGCCCACTCTTAATATGTTGGTGGTTCTTTACAGTTGGCCCTATCTTCCCATTTACTTCCACATCTTCAAGCTAGGCAATCTCCTCTATTTGTTTCAGCCACTACATATATACTAATAGTTCCTATTTATTATGTCTTAGGTCTTTCAGAAATATTAATATACACAATAGAGTTTTATGATTAAGTTGTGTAATGCTGGAATGTAGTATAACTGGATTGCAGTGTTAGAAACACTGAATCTTGAAGACCAAAACAGTCTTCTGTGTAACACTCTCTAATGGCTTCTCATTTCACTCAGAGTCCTTACCATTATTTATGTAGGCCCTACCGGCATCCCTGCATAGGCTTACCTTTCTCTAACTGCCCTTCCTCCCTCTCCATTTGATTTACTCTGTGCCTGACATGCTTTTTTTTCTTTAAAGATTTTTATTTATTTATTTGAGAGAGAAAGAGAGATAGAGAGCACGAGAGGGAAGAGGGTCAGAGGGAGAAGCAGACTCCCTGCTGAGCAGGGAGCCCGATGTGGGACTCGATCCCAGGATTCCAGGATCATGACCTGAGCCAAAGGCAGTTGCTTAGCCACTGAGCCACCCAGGCGCCCCGTGTGCCTGACATGGTCTCCCCCCAGACATCTACACAGCTGTCTCTTACTTCCTTTAGGTCTTTATTCAAAAGTTACTTTCTCAATAAGGGCTTTAGACCGCTCATGTAAAACGTTACCTCCATTCCCAACCTTTTTTTTTTTTTTTTAAGATTTTATTTATTTATTTGACAGAGAGAGACACAGCGAGAGAGGGAACACAAGCAGGGGGAGTGGGAGAGGGAGAAGCAGGCTTCCCGCCAAGCAGGGAGCCCGATGAGAGGCTTGATCCCAGGACCCCGGGATCATGACCTGAGCCGAAGACAGACGCTTAACGACTGAGCCACCCAGGCGCCCCATCCCAACCTGACATTTAATAACCTTCTTTATTTTTTCTCCTTAGCACCTGACATCTTAGCATTAATTTAGTATCCAAAAAATAATATCATTTGACTTTTTTATATTTCACTTTGCTTTATCTTACTATGTTATGAGTGCCAAGATAGATTTTCATCTGTGTTCATTGATGTATTCTTAGTACCTGTAAGAGTGCTCAGCGTATGGTAAGTGTTCAATAAATACAGACATATCTCTATTTTGATACAAGGAAAGAAGCTAAAGTGCATTTTCTCCTTTGTTCTTTGAGACTCAGGCTAAGTAATTAATCAAATACAAATAATTAATCAAATACTATGTAACTAATCAAATACAAATCACCTACGCAGCATCTCTGTACTTAACATCTACCCAAAGAAGCAGAGAGAAGAGGGCACACTTGGAAGAAAGGATTCATGTCATTCCTTCCAGTTCCTCTTAACCACTCATCTGCAGGACAGGGACAGCAGGAAATTTTGTTCTCTGTAAGGTGAAGAGGTGAAAGAAGATGTTGGATTCCACCCCAACCCCATCCTGAACTGAAAAACAACATTAAACTGTTAGGTTTCTGCCATATGTATAAACTAAAATATCCTTTTAGAATTTGAGGGTTAGTAAAGGGATCTGTTTGCTTTCATTAGCCCTTTCCTCCAAAACCTCTACCCCACCAGTTTCAAAAAACCAAGTAAGCAAGCACGAAAAACCAGCCTATCACAAGTTGCTACCACTTCATTATGCTAGCTGTGTCTTCTGTGTTTATAAAGAACTTGTTATTTTCTATGAAAGCACTGTAAACTCTCTTTGGGAAATTACAAGATTGTCAATTGTTTTACTTATGTTTGCAATAGAGGTCTTTGCTATTGATGGTTCAAGTGCATTGTAATGTAGTTATTAAGAATTTTGCCGAAAACTGTTTGCTTAAGCTACATCTGTACCTCAGATAGAGAGTTCAGTAGACAATTGTACTAAAAGTTACTTACCCGGTATAAGTCATTGTTGGTCAGGGAAAAGGGCAAGTTGGATACATACACTGTGCTTTTACTTGGGGCCAATCCACCACTCATCTCTATAAAGGAAAACAAACCCAGAAGCAATCTAAACCAGGTATTCTTCATTCTAAGCAGAACCAATGTATACAATCGTTGATTTAATTATGCCACATTTAATACACCTTCCTCACTTTTTAGGAATAAAAACAATTACTGCAGTTGGATGAATTAAGGAATTTCTTTTCCCCAGATATTACTGAAAAAGAGCTTTCTGGTCTTTCTTTCAAGTAGAGTCTTTAACTGTTATAGTGCTGGATTATGGTATGAAGGCAGAATGAGTTTAAACAGATAAATAAAAAATTGAGGCTTCACTTAACCGTCCCTCAAGCTAACGGCAAAAAAGTGCTTTTGCAAAGGCTTAATACCTTGCCTACCACATCATAAAGAGCCCGCTAGCTCAGAAAGAACTGTAGCCGCTCATTTTCACGAATGCTTTGGTTTGGGGTACTTTTTCAGTTGTCTTAATATTTTTCTTTGCAGTAGTGTTAAGAGAAAATTTTAGCCTCAACTTTTGATGATATAAAGTTCTTTCAAATCACTAATTTTGCATATTACTCGTAAATAATGAAAGGGTATATTTTACTATACGAATAAGTTTCCGTGCCTTGAAAGATACTGATTTGCGTATGTATTTTTAGCTTACACATGTAATTTGTAGTTAATTTTTATAGCGTATTTTACAAAGCAGACTATCCGTGAAAATTATATCGTACTCAACAAGGTTCAAATTTCCATTTAAAAAGCTTGTGTGGTGTGTATTTGAGAAGGGGGGGTAGGGGCCATCACAAATGGCAAAATATTGACCGTAGGACATGCCAATTCGCGGAGTAATAGGAAAACTGCTTGATGCTTGAGATGTTTCTTGGGAATTTACTAGACAAGTTCAGGAACTCCACATCTAAAAGTTTCCCATTTGAAACTATGCGTTACCGTTCTGGGGAGAACTGCGAGGGCGGGCAACGGTAAATAGCCCGGAATAAAAAGGGTGACCGGGGAGAGGGGCAAATCGTTTTCGCGGCCGGGTCTGGGGAGGGGCTTGCTGGGAGAAAGGCCGCAGCTGAGGAAGCGTTTACCTTTAGGTGGGGCGGACCTGGGAGACTAGAGCACTAGCCCTCGACTCAGCTGGGCCTCAACCCGGACTCTTCCTCGTCACCCGCTGGGGCCTTGGCATCACGGGTCCTGGGAGTGGTCAGGCGCCGGAGACTACAAGGCAGCGACAGCAACGCCTCTTCCTGGCTGTAGCTAGACCCAGGCTCCGGAGGCGGGCCCAGAGGCGGGCGCTTTTGCTGACGTCTTTAAGCGCGCCGGAACTGCCTGCTTAGGAGAGGAGCGACGAACCGACGACTACATTTACGGGGTCTCCCGGCGGCCCAGAGTCGGTGAGCGCATTTTACCTTTCCACGAGGTGGACAGGGCCGGGCTCGGGGGCTGCTACGCCCGAGTCGAGTGTGTGGGCGGGAGAGCGGGTGTTTTCCGTGGCGGGACTTGGAGTCTCCCGTTGCATTTGATTCGTGCAGTAATTCTGCCCTTGCGGTGGAGGGTGTAGAGACGCAGTGGAGTTTGGAATAAAGGAAACTGTTGAGTCTGAGACACAGGTTTGCTTCTCTTTAGCGCCTTATTATGCAGAAAGAAGACTGAACTAGGTAACTTCAATGACCCAAGATAAGTTAGGAAGTCGGTAAATTTAAAGAATGCGTTCGATGTACCAGTTCAGTATCAGTTACTTAGAGAGCTATAAAAAAAGTGTAAAACAGGCCTTTTTCTGGCGGATATCTGAGTCTAGTTGAGACAAGGTCAACTCGGATTCACAGAATGACTCATCTTGAGTTGGTATGGACAAATGTTGGACTACTTGGCGCCTTTTTCCGTCCTGTAAATCTATAATGGGCACACACTGCTTTTTCTCTTAAGAGGAGGTGAACGGGCCCATCATTCCTACAGACAAATCAGAAACGAATACAGGGTAGTTTATACTTCTACCCACCAGCACACACAGACCAGGCCTCTAACCATTCCTTGGGAGCGTGCGTGCCAGCAGCCTGGAATCCAGAGCCTCTCCTGGAGTCTGCACAATCAATCCAGAGTGAAGCCGGTGTCTTCTAGAGAGAAGGAAGTGCATCCAGGGCGCAGCTGAATTTTGAGAGGCCCGAATGCCTCCACATCCACCAGGGGACCGCTGCGACTAATTCTCTTGGCAAACTTGTGGCCAGCCAAAGCTACCATGCTTCACATCCCCGTTATTTTTGGTTACCGCCCAAGATGTAAGCCCCTTTGGTCTTATATGCTACACTCTCATCCCCATGCTGCTTTGTACTTCCTCTCCCTTGATTTAGGCTATCACTGTTTTTCCCTCCTTTTCTTACACATTTCACCCCTCAACACAACAGCTAAGCTCGCTGAAACCTCTATTCCCTGCTAACAAACTCTTACATGTTCTTCCGCTTGATGGAAAGCTTCTTTCATCTCCTGACCATAACCAGCACTTGGCTTTTTGCCTCCTGCCCTTTCAGTTGAGTCCTTTCTCTGACACCTGCATTTGAGGTTAAGTTGATGGCTCTGCCTGTATTGAACTGATTTCACTTCCTCAGAATATTTTTCCTCCCCCCCATCTCCAGGGTCTTTGTAGTTTTCTTTTCTCTCTGTGGCATTTGATTTCTCTGGCCTTTCTTCTGCCTCTTGTGGATAATCCCTACACCTGCTAAGGGTTTCACTTTACCTGTGACTTTCTTTGAGGGATATTTTGTAACTTTCCCCAGAGAGAGTTAGATACCCTTGCCATACGCTAAGTGCCCTCTGCTTTCTTCATCATAGCACTTACCACATGTGTGCCTATTAATTGCTTGTCTCTTTGCCTTCCCTGAGCTAGGCTGTGGGGGAGGGACTGTTATTTTCTTGTTTGTTTTTGTAATTCCAGTGCCCATAGGCAGTCAGGTATTTCTTTGATTGAAACTGCTGCAAATTCAGTCTCAGAAGTTGGGCAGTTGACATGTCATCTGACTTTAAGATGTTAAGAACCTTTGGAAAGGGATCTGCTGCTACTTAGCTTCAGCTGATTGTTGCTTTATGAGAATATGATTCCAGTGTTGCCGGAGTGTGTAGGTTTTTCAATAATTGGAAATACGGTTTTGGAAAGTGATATCTCCCAGTTTTTAAATGTTGTTGATGGAATAACGTTTTATTACAAACAAAACAAAACCAGAGAAACCCTGGGCCAAACACATGTCACATGCAGCCTATCAGTTACCAGTTTGGAATCCATTTTAGTGTGGTAGGGCTTAGAATTGGGCTTTGTGGAGAATGCTAGATTTTGAGCTTGGTCTTCACGGATGGTTCGAAGTTGAATGAGAGAATGGAAAGAGGTACTGTAGTTTGAGAAATATATCAAACAACTCCAGGTGGTGTGTGTGTTACTTTGTGGCACAGTGAGGAGGCTGGCATGCGTGATCTTTTTGGAGAGAACAGGAGTTTAGGTGAGATGAGAGAGGGCAGAGGAGTTTGGATTTGTTACAGTTAATTGATGTGAAACAATTTAGATTCTTGATAAGGGAAACTTCAGATATGGATGATGTATTTGCAAAGTTAACTGAGTATCCTTTTTTAAAGGTAGGATGGAGAGGAGAGCTGAGCCTGGAAGGAGGTTGAGCAGTTAAGATTGTAAGCTTTATCCAGATGTGAAGGAAGATTTAGATTTGTAAACATATATAAGCAAACATCTGGTATTTTTATAATTTCAATTACTTGATCACTTACATTGAACAATCAAGAATCTCCTAAGTATTTAATAAAGTATAGTGGGGCTTATATAAGAGGAATCCTTAAAGCACGAAAAATCAAGTAATTTGTGAAACTAGCAGAGAATGCAGTACTTTAAGTTATTAGTCAGTAGTCTCCTTTCCTTAAGCCTTATTCTCCTTTAATCTGTCTTGTATACTGCCAGGTTAATTTTCTGGAATGACATTTTCCCCAACACCTTATTTCTAGACTTAAAAGCCTGCAGTGAGCTTCTCCTCTAGTTGCTTACTTTGTATTAGGGTTTAATGCACTTGAATGTGTTCTGTCTTTGCCTGTTACCTTTGTGAAACAATGTGATATGATGAAAAGGGCGTGGGATTTAAAGTCATGCAGACCTGAATGATTCTAGGCTTTGGCTCTGGGATTGAGTTTTTCAGAGCCTCTGTGCTTTATCTGAAATAGGAGAGGTGATATCTACTAAAGGGGAAGAAAGGAAAACTTGTCGAATTCCTATGCAGGCTTACTTTCCATTCCTTTGCAATGCAAATCTTCCGTTCTGATCAGTTCCAACTTTCTCAGACACATCTTCCATAATTCTTTTACCTTTTTTTTTTTTTTTGGATTCCACTATCATTCATCCACATTTAAGCAATCTCTCAAGACTCTATTTAAATTTTCTTGGCTTTCTTAACTACCATTTCCTGAGGGAGATAAATATCTCCCTCAGCACGGAACAGTGATTAATCTTAGTAGATATTTTGCTCTATTTTGACCATGTTAATTGACATCAGTGTTAGTTTTTTTTTCATAGGCCTTCACTAATTATATTCTAAAATTCATTTTTAATTTAGTTGTCTGGAATTTTAAACATTTTCTAATAAATATTAGTAATATCTAGTTTCTGGGTTGAAGTCAGTCCTTAAAAGCTTCTTCAATTTAGGATGTCTGGAATATGTTTACCTTGCTTTAAGGTCAGTGGATCTCATACTGAGATGAGCTTAAGTTTTTTTTTTTTTTAAGATTTTATTTATTTGAGAGAGAGCATGAACAGGGCAAGGGACAGAGGAAAAGTGTGCTAAGCTGTTGGGGAAGTGGTCGGGGTGAAGCTGGAAAGGCAAAAGCAAGGTCATAAATAAGCCTTTTTTTAAGGTTAGGGTTGAATCTTCATTCTTCAGTATATGGGGAATTACTGAGAGATTTTTAAATCAGGTGTCTTATCAGAATGAACTTTCTGGCTACAATTTATAGGGTGAGGGAGAATCAGGGAGACAAGTGTTTTACTGCTGGGGAGTCCAATAGCTAGACGAGGAGCATCCAATATTTATGCAATGAGGCAATAGAAATAACTGGATTTAATGAATAGTTAGATATGAAAAGTTTCAAGTCTTGGATGATTCAGGTTTCTGAATTGGGCTGTTGGGTACATGGTGTTGTCATTGCCTAAAATGGGGAAGACAGAAGATGAAGCAGGTTTCTGAGAAGTGTGAAGAACTTTTGGCATGTCGGGTTGCAGATGTTTGTGATACATTCTCTTGAACAGAGTCAGGATGGAAGTGGAGATGTGGGAATCATTTATCTAGAGGAGGCATATTACCAGCATTATTAAATTAACTCCCGAACACTGAGCAAATACGTTGTGCAAGTTGTTCTAGGTGCTTATTATTAATGAAGAACATAGAGATCACTGTTTTCATATAGTTCGTATTCTTAGCAAGGGACCAATAATATGCATCAAATATAAGTTATATAGTGTCTTAGATGATTAGTGCTATGAAAAGAATAGGAAGCTTTAGGGAGATTAGATAAATGACATTAGGAAGGTAATAATGAAGGACGAAGAAGTTAGCCATGCAGATTGCTGGAGAAAAACATTCTAGGTGGGGAATTGCCAGTGCAAATGCCTAATGCTCATCTAGAATATAAGGTCATATGTGACTTTTCTGTTCACTAGCCATAGTTCATTATCAAAATAGTTACTGATGAAAATAGAGTTAAAGAAGTGGGTTTGGAGAGGAGGAAAAGCTATTTTATTGAGTGTTGTTTTTTTTTAAGATTTTATTTATTTATTGAGAGAGAGCACAAGTAGGAGGAGGGGTAGAGGGAGAAGCAGACTCCTTGCTGAGCAGGGAGCCCGATGCAATGTGGGGCTCCACCCCAGGATCCTGGGATCATGACCTGAGCAGAAGGCAGATGCTTCTTAACTGACTAAGCCACCCAGGCGCCCTGTTTTTTTTTTTGTTGTTGTTGTTATTTTTTAAATTCTGAGTGTACTTAATATTGGAAGCTGAAAAGAGCAGTGTGCACAATTATTTTATAGTCTAAGCTACTACTATAACCAGTTTGGATAAGGTGAAAAATAGATCTACCTATTGCCTTGCTTGTGGATTCAAAGTGTGAATGGTTTGACAGAAGGATATTGCCTGTGAGTTTCTGTTTTCTCAATTTCTAGGCTACTCTCACTGAGAATTCCAGTTCTCCGTATTCTCTTAGTCCTCAAGTAAGTCAACCTAATAATGGTTGGCTCTCTCG